TGTCATGACATGCAGACAGAGAGAGGGAGACAAACAAGAGGGAAGAAGAAGACGAGGATGAGGAGAAAAAGCAATTTATTGGACACCATTGAAAAAATGACCAGAGCACTGATATGATTTGGTTCTGTGTCCCCACCCAAATCTCACCTCAAATTGTAATCCTCACATGTCCAGGGAGGGACCTTCTGGGAGGTGATTGTTTCATGGGGGCAGTTTCCCCTATGCTGTTCTTGTGAGAGCGAGTGAGTTCTCACAAGATCTGATGTTTTAAAAGTGGTACTTCTCCCTTTGTTCTTGCTCTCTCCTGCTGCCTTGTGAAGAAGGTGCTTGCTTCTCTTTAGCCTTCACCATGATTGTCAGTTCACTGAGGCCTCTCCAGCCATGTGAAACTGTGAGTCAATTAAACCTCCTTTTTTCTTCAATAATTACCCAGTCTCAGGTGTTCTTTATAGCAGTGTGGAAACAGGCTTATATACCAAGCACCAACTTTTTGAAAATTGTCACGTTATAATTTTTCCTCTATAAACTGTATTTTAGGTTAATCATAGCACTAGTTGATTAGAAAAATTTCTACTTTACCAAAATTTCCAGGTAATTGATGTGCAATCACTTCCATAATTAAAAGAAAACATTCTGGGCCGGATGCAGTGGCTCACGCCTGTAATCCCAGCGTTTTGGGAGGCTGAGGCGGTAGGATCACGAGGTCAGGAGTTTGAGACCAGCCCGGCCAACATGATGAAAGCCCGCCTCTACTAAAAATACAAAAATTAGCCCGGCGTGGTGGCAAGCGCCTGTAATCCCAGATACTCAGGAGGCTAAGGCAGGAGAATTGCTGGAAGCCGGGAGGCAGAAGTTGCAGTAAGCCGAGATTGAGCCATTGCACTCCAATCTGGGCCACAGATCAAGACTCTGTCTCAAAAAACGAAACAAAACAAAAACCATCATGTTGTAGCTCCTAATGAGGCAATTTAAGTCAAGGTAATTAGTAGTTGAAAGTATCTTAGTATTAATACATAAGGGAAATATTGGGTGCTTCCTGATATGATGCCAAGTACAGTACCCGATACTTATGAAAAGTTTTTGCACCTTTTAAGATTGACTCAGAATCAAATCAACTTCCATTTAGGAAAGAGTTAATTTCCATTTATAGTGTATTCCAGAGATAGAAGAAGAAGTTAAGTGATTTACAAAGAAGGAAACTGGAAAAAAATTCAGGATGTACATTTTACAAGACCTATCCTTTGCAAAAAATTAATGAGAAAGAAGAGAGAGTGAGAGTTCTGAATTACAGAGACTTGAGGGGCATGCTAACCAAGTGTCAAATGTGATCATTGTTTGGATTTTGATTCACATGGAGCAAATGAGAAGATTTTTCTTCCTTTTCTTCTTCCCCTTCCTCCTTCTTCTGGTCTTTCTTGTTTTCTTTAAGGTCATCGAAGAATTTTAATTACAGACAGTTTTTTTTTATTTTATCACATAACAAACCATCCCGGTACTTAGTGACTTAAAATAACAATCATTTATTTTCTCACAATTTTTCAATTTGATCGGGACTCACAGGGGTTGGGGGTGGGGTTCCTCTGGCATCAGCTAAGGTGGCTCATCTGGGGCTTACTTCCAAGATGACCTCATTCCCAGGGCGAGCACACTGGGGCCCATGTCATCATGGAGACCAGATGGGACAGACACTGGAGCTCTCAATTCTCCTTTATGTGGGTCTGTTTACACGCTGCTTGGGCTCCTCACGATAAGACAACTGGGTTCCAAAGAGGAGAAAATAGAAGCCAGAAGTTTTCTTAAAAGCTAGGCTTAACTGAAACTTTGTAATAAGTTCTGGAGATCTATTGTACAGCATGATGATTATAGTTAATAATAATTGTGCTGTATATTTAAAATTTGCTAAGGGATTAGATTTTAAATGTTTTCACCATAGAATCTGGTAAGTATTTGAGGCGATGGATATGTTACTAGTTTTTTTATTTCACAATGTATACATATGCCAAAACATCACATTGGACACCATAAATGCACACAATTTTTATTTTTCAATTCAAAGAAAGGCATAAAGGGAGGAAGGTAGGTTTACAACTAGTGCAGTGATATTTCTGCCATAGTCCCATTTTCAATGTAGTCATAGTCTCAGCTGACATTCAAGAGATTGGAGAAAGAGATCCTACCTTTCTGTGAGGGGAATGACAAAGGCAGGTATTTGAAGTAATCAGGAAACAATTTTTAGATTTATGAATGGCATTCTCATTGTCTAAAAAAAGTCAAAAAATTTAGAGATAGATGAAGTATGTAGGATTGAAATAACATGATGCTGAGACTTGCTTTAAGATACTTTAGCGGGAAAGAAAAAGGGGATAAAACAGGACAGATGAAGTAACTTTTGCAATATCTTGATAATTATTGAATATAGGTGAAGGGCATATAAAGGAATTATTGTAGTCCACTTTTGAGTATGTGTGAAATTTTTTAAGTCTTTTTTGAATCAGAATTTGAAATAATATTATAACTCCTAAAATAAAAAATTATAAAGAAGAAACCCAAAGTCCTAGTTTCATCTAGTTTAGCTTTTGATTAAATTTTAATATTGTATCTCAAAATATTTCTTAAATAATACACTTCAAAAGTACTAACTTGGAAAAGTATGAAGAAATAGTGAAACCTACAGGGGTACTGAGGCTCTGGGGAGGCACAATGGAAGGGAGGCCAAACAGGAATGTCTGCTTGACATTGGTGCATATGATGTCTGTTTCCAGTGTTTGAAAGCAACCGTGTGAGGATTTAATGCTATGAACTTCTGCAGCCATCTTCAAATCATGAAAGGAAGGGCCAGGGAACTATAGACAGTACTCATGACTGATCTCACTGACCCTCTCCTTCAGTGACAACAATTGTCGATCCATAGACCTGTTCTTATATGTGAACAATAACCTTTCTTGATTAATCACTCTCAGTCACGTAGTCTATTACCTGCAACTCAAAAGCACTCTTAACCAATAACACTTTAAAGCAGAAGGTGCCAGTGTAAATCTCCATTTAATTTGCTAATTAAAATCAAGGGGCTATAGATACCCTCCCCTAGAATATCTTATTTCTAATAAGGGTATTGGAAATAAATGTTATTTAATGAAAAGTAAGTCCAGGACCAAGTTATGAAGAAACTTATTTGCAAGATCTAAATTTAACTTTAATTGTTTATTCATCTGTTGATGGACACTTAAGTTGATTCCATACCTTGGCAACCAGAAATAATGCTGCAATGAACATGGAGGTGCAAATATCTCTCTGACATACAGACTTCATTTCCTTTGGATATATACCCAGTAGTGGGATTGCTGGAAAATGTGGTATTTATGCACAATGAAATACTATTCAGTTTTTAAAATGAAGGAAACCCTGTTATTTGTGACAACATCGATGAGTCTGGAGGGCATTACGTTAAGTGAAATAAACCAGAAACAGAGAGATAAACACTGCATGTTTTCACTAATGTGGAATCTAAAAAAGTTGAATTCATAGAAGCAAAGAGTAGAATGATGATTACAAGGCTCTGGGGAACTTGGGGAGTAATTGGAGGAGATGATGTTCAAAAGATAAAAAATTTTAGTTAGGAAGAATAAGTTCAGGAGATCTATTGTACAACATGGTGCTTTTAGTTAACAACAATATATTGTACAGTTGAAAAGTGCTAAGAGAGTAGATTTTAAGTGTTCTCATCACAAATAAATATGTAAGGTGATGCATATGTTAGTTTAATTTAACCATTTCACATACATATTTCAAAGCATCATGTTGTATACCATACACACAATTTTCATTTGTTAATTAAAAAATGAAGAGAAATAGTAAAAATTTAAAAAATAAATTTAACTTTCAGAACTGTTAGTGCATTTTAAAAATAATTAGATCAAGCATATCTAGAAATAAAATACCTAAATTAATATCAAAGAATCACCTAGTCTTAGCTGATGTTTTCAAATACCTAGGTTTAACACGCCCTTGTACAGATGAATTTACTGAAAACGCAAGGGCTAAGTATTATCCTGAAGTTTACAAAGGATGATATAGTTAGTATAAAAAGCATAAAATTTGGAACTAGATATTCCCGGACTAGATCCCAGAATTTACCATTTTCTAATTTTGACCTTGGCAAGTTGCTTATTCTTCTGAGCCTCAATTTTCTTATCAAAAAAACAAAGTAAAACAAATGAACATTTTTCAAGATTTTTTTTTTTTAAGGAGTAAGATAATTTGCAAAAGTCCTTAATTTCAAAACTTACTTTGAAGCATACAGTAATCAAAACAGTGTGATACTGGCATAGAAACAGACATGTAGACCAATGCAATAGAATGGAGACTCCAGAAATAAACTCTCATTTACATGGTCAAATGATTGTCAGCAAATCTGTCAAGACCATTCAATGGGTAAAGTACAGTCTTTCAACAAATGGTGTTGGACAAATGGAATATACACACACAAAACAATAAAGTTGGACCCTTACATTGCAACATACACAAAGAGTAATTAAAAATTGACAAAGCCCTAAAGAGCTAAAACTATAAGTTATTAGAAGAAAACATTGGGAAAAATCATCTTGATGTTGGATTTGGCAATGATGTATTTAACACCAAAAACACAGGTAACAACAACAAAAATAGATAATTTAGACTTTACCAAATTAAAAAGAAAAAAACTTCTGTGCATTAAAGGACACTATTCCCAAAGTAAAAAAGTAACTCATTGAATAGGAGAAATTATTTGCAAATCGCATATCTGAGAAGAGATATCCAGAATGTGTAAAGAACACCTACAACTCAACAATAACAAAACCAAAAACCAAACTAACCCAATTTTAAAAATGGGCAAAGGACTGGTATAAACATTTATCCAAAGAAAATACATAAATGGCTAATAAATAAAAAGATGCTCATCACCACTAATCACTAGGCAAATGCAAATCAAAACCATGAGATACCATTTCACACTCATTAGGGTAGCCACTATTAAAAAACACACACACACAAAAACAAACAAACAAAAAAAAACAGAAAATAACAAAGGCTAGCAAAGATGCAAAGAAAATTGAACCTGTGTGTACTGTAGGTGAGAATGTAAATGATGCAGTCAATAAGAAAAACAGTATGGTGGTTCCTCATTAACATGGAATTAACAAAGGATCCAACAATTCCCTTCTCGATATATACCCAAAAGAATTGAAAGCAAGGACTCAAACAGATATTTGTACATCTATATTCATAGCAGTCTTATTCACAATAGTCAAAGGTAGAAGTAATCCAAGTGTTTATCAACAAACAAGTGGATAAGCAAATTGTGGTATATACACAAAAAAGAATCTTATTCAGCCTTAAAAATGAAGGAAATTCTGGCACATGCTATTACATGGATGCACCTTGAAGACATTATACTAAGTGAGGTAAGTCAGTCACCAGATGGTATATATTGATTGCACTTACAGAAAGCATGTAGAGTAGTCAAATTTAGAGAAAGAAAGTAGAAAGGCTGTTTCCAGGGGCTGAGAGGCAGGGGAAATGGGTAGGGTAGTTAGTGTTTAATGGGTATGGGATTTGAGTAGGAAAGATTAGGAAAGACGAAATGGTTCTGGAGATGCATGGTGGTGATAGTTGCACAACAGTGTAGAGGTACTTAATGTTACTGAACTGTTTACTTAAAAGTGGTTAAAGTGGTACATTGTAGATTTATGCACTTTGCATATTTTGCCATCGTAAAAATGTGTGTGTCTCTATATCTTGTCATGTAGGGAAACAAATGTTTTGTTAATTGTTGAAAGAGAAAATAGGAATGGGAGATGGGAAGGAATGTGACATGGACCCTTGACCCACCACCTTTAAAAGGAAGATGTTACTTTTATCCTGAAGAATAATATTTCCTCCAGGTTTGCCTGTAGTTGTTTTCAATGCATTTTCACTGCAGGTTTTAGGACTATCATTGCCACCTTTGAAATCTGTTTACACAGATCATGGTAAGTCTCATTCTCTCATTTTATGAGTCAGGGTTCTTCATTAATTTAGAAAATTGTTTGTTCAATAAAGGCCTATATTATTTGATAATGGTCTCTGAATCCCCTGGATTATGGCAGGGATTTTACTTTGTAATAATCTCCCATGAGAACTGGCCAAACAGCTGTGAAGGCAAGAGAGAGCTACAAGAGGCAATCGTAGTTTTCAAAGCAGAGCAGCAAGAGAGTGAAGCTGGTCAAAATGAATCTTTTTTGCATTTCGCTGGTAAGTTCTTTTATTTGCACCATTTATGTTCTCATTTTAATTTTACTGTGTCAAATAAAAGGAATGAAATTAGGATATATTCTAAACTTCCTATGTGATGATATTAATACACTTAGCATCTCAGAAAGTTCCCATCAAAAAGAATAGTGAGAAAGGATGCTTTCATTAAAGCACTTAAGCCAACTCTACTCAAAAACAAGTAATAAAAAAAACCTGCAACAATTACTATTTATTTAACATTTTGATGCTGAATTTTTAAGTACAATATTCTGGGAACAGTATTTTTGAGAAATAATTTTCTTCTATTTGTTATGAGTATGAGACAAAATTTTGCAAACCCTGCAGCCTTTGTGTTGCTTGCTTTGCTTTGAGACATCCCAGGAATCAAAATTTCTTCTTTGTTCTTTGAGTAATGAATTCCTTTCAATGTTGGCTTGGTTAAACTTCCATGGAGATAGTTTTCTGAGTTGCACCACACTGTAAACGCAAGGTACAATAGATTAATTCAGTCCTGGAGATGTGCTTACTCAAGGGTATAAGCACCTCTCAAATTCTTTTTCACATTATTACTTTTTTTTCCCCTTAGACTGAAGTGGATCAGTGAAAGTTATCAGGTAGTCATGGATCTGAAAATACTTTATAACTCTAACCTGCAGTTGTGACCATCTGCCAATGCTTAAAAATGGATTTCAAAAATAATTTTATTCATTTCTATCTGTGTTTACAGCAGGGCATTATGTCTATTCATTGGTTTTTCAAGATGTCGATGGGTGATCCCTCTCATTTGGGAAAATAAAATAGCCTAGTTCTGATGTTTGTTTTCTTTCCAAATTGCACATAAGATTAACATAAGCAGTAGAGATGGTGCTGACATACGTTGTAATACCTAAACAGGAGGCATTTTAAACCAAGATAAGGGATTTAATCTTAGAGCATCTTGAAAAATAAAATGCAATTGTGAGTTGTGGGAGGCTGAATCATCGAGTTCTTGTTGCCTATATAGTCCAATTTACAAAATAACTGCCAGCTCTCAACTTTGCTTTGTGCCGTATAAATCTGACGGCAGAAATCCCATTTCAGGTGATTTAAGTGGTATTGTGCATACTTTTCTAGTTGATCTAAAAGAGCTATATGTGGTTTATATGAATATACTTCCCATGGAAATAGGCAGTGTGGCACCAAAGACGATTGCTTTCTGAAATCATTTTGAATGGTAATATAATCAGTATGCTAATGTTTCTATAACATAGCATGGTTCAGCGTGGGTTGACATACGTTCGTAATGCTGCTGCTAAAGACATATAACCATATAATGAGCTTGATTGTCTTCCTCTCTGATATAGGGAAGGGAGCACATACTTAAAAAGGATTGCCTGAAAGTCCTGGCTCATGGACTCAATATGACTGTAACTCTTTTCTGTCTGTTAAAGTTGTCCTTAAGAAGTTACTTGCTCAGAAACATATTTGATTAGACGAAACCATCAAGAACCCTAGTCTTTTGTTGAATCATTGCAAAGTTTATGTTATCAAATTCAATTGCTTTAATAAGAAAATGTGTACAAGGTACTTAAAAAATAAACATTATCTTAGGTGTTTTTTATTCCTTCTTGTGGAATAAATACATAAAATAATTTAGTGTAGGTTCTCAACCAGAGTGTTGTGACACCCTACTGTGCTGTTATAACCTTTGAAAAAGGGGTGGGGTTACAGCTTGCCAGGAATTTATGCAAAATCCAAAATATATTTTATCCATGGCTGTAGGAATGTGAACACATGGGACACTGCATTTAAGAAAAGAGAATAAAAACCACTGGTTTAATGGAAAGATTCTTGAATTTAAAAAAATGAAAAAGTAAATACACTGACCTTTAAATCTCTGGGAAGCAGGTGATTTTAAACATTATGTGTCACATAAAGATTACCACTAAAGAAAGAATGAAAGAGTTAAACATCTCTCATTTAAGTGTAGGGGAAAATTGTAAATCTTTCAGTAAATGGGGTTTTTAAGAGAAATATAAAGGCAGAAACTTAATGAACTACCCATTCTGAACCAAGGATACTATAAATAATCCATTAAAGGTGATTGCTATTATTTTGGATCTATAAACTTGAAATGGGGTCTATCTTTCAAAAGGGAGGCAGAACTATCCTTTTATATATGCTACTCTGACTCCACAATTTTTCTTAGAGTTTTACGTGGTGATGAGGCTTTTAGAAAACTTGTTCATTTGAAGTACACTGATTTTTCTTGTTAAGCTCATCTTACAGTTATTGCGTTTAACATGTCTTTGTAACCCGTGAGGTTACAAAGCAATTATCCCTGCACAATTTCTCCAATAATTTGAAATGCTGCCTCTGTCTTTATTTGGATTCTCTATTCTAACCCATTGGTTCATTTCTATCCCTTTCCTTTTACTCGTTCTTTTAAGTACTTTTTAAAATATTAATAATTCTACTGCCATGTAAGTCTTACTCAGAAGAATACCCTGCTCCCCATTTGTCCTTCTTCAAAGTTTGGACTTCGTCTTTTTTCTATATAAACTTAGGTTCATATTGTCAAATTATATGAATACTTTTGATGGGATTTTGATTGAAATAAATTTGAATTTTACACCATTTTTAGGGGAAATTGACTTCATTAAGTGTTAGGTCTTTTCATCCACAAACATAGATAATGCTTTATTCAATTCTTTCGTAGCCTTCAATAATATTTTATAATTTCGCCTATGATATCTTGCACAGCTTTTGTTAAATTTATTGTTAGGCGTCTAAGAATTTGGGACGCCATTGTGAATTTTTCTCCAAGTTTGTTGATGCTGATTTAGAGATACATTATTAGCATATTGACATCCAAAAAAAAATTTTTGCTGATCTCGAAGAATTCTGAGACATACTCTGTGGTTTTCTCAGGTTTTCTGTGCAAATAATCTATAAATTATGCCTCTCCTTAGCATTTATATTATTCTCAACTTCTTTATCTTCCATAATATTGAAAAATAGGAATGCTATGATAGCAGTCATCCTACTCTTATTTCCAATGCTCATGTAATTATTCATGAAGAAATTTTTTTTTTTTTTTTTTTTTTTTTTGAGACGGAGTCTCACTCTGTCGCCCAAGGTGGAGTACAGTGGCCGGATCTCAGCTCACTGCAAGCTCCGCCTCCTGGGTTTACGCCATTCTCCTGCCTCAGCCTCCTGAGTAGCTGGGACTACAGGTGCCCGCCACCTCGCCCGGCTAGTTTTTTGTATTTTTTAGTAGAGACGGGGTTTCACCGGGTTAGCCAGGATGGTCTCGATATCCTGACCTCGTGATCCACCCGTCTCGGCCTCCCAAGGAAATTTTTTTTTAAATAACTCTAACCAGGTTAAGGAAGTCCTGCCTTTTCCCAATTAGCTAAAATTTTGACGTGGGTAAACATTAAAAATTTTCAAGTGCCTTAAACATTTATTGAGATTAACTTCCTTTTAAATATTTTAACCTATATTTAAATATTGAAGCATTGTTACATTTCTATATTACACACTAATTGGTCATAATGTAGTTTTATATGTACTATTTGATTTTGTTGATATTTTTAGGATTTAAAAATCTATGTTAATACCTAAAATTGGTCTGTTGTTTTCTTGCATTAATAAGAAAATTCCATCATTTTCTTTTTCTAGAATTCCCATTAATAGTATTTTATCATCTTTTAATATATCTTCCAACCTTTTACCTGTGTGTATCATGTTTTCTATTTATCCTTCTGTGCTGCACCCTAAGTGAACTCAGCATTTTCTAATTCTCTCTTATGAAAGGTCTAGAGTTCAATTTTTGATTATTTAATATAAATTTCTGTGATTATATTATTTATTTTCAAGACTTTGTAATTGTTCTTTGCTCCTATTTAATGATTGCTGTTTCATTTCTGTTTTGTTTTCATCATAAATTATTTCTTTTTAATCGAATATTACTTTTTTATTTAGCTCTGAAGATTATATATATCCTTTCTTAAATTATCTCTCCATCTGTTTTATGATTTTAATTTCATCTGGAAGGAAATGGTTTAGCTTTCTGACCGTCAATTCAGTTGGCTCTCTTTCTCAGCATTTGATCTCTTCATAGTGCTTTGGCTAATTCAGAATGACAACCGTTTTTCTTTCTCTCTTTCTCTTTCTTTCTTTCTTTCCTGGCTTCTTCACCTTGCTTTATCTACTAGTGAGGCAAAAATCTCTCGTCTTCCGGATGCCCCAGTGAAAAACCAGGGCTTGCATTGCTGGTCCAGAGATCTTATTCCAAGCAGATATATGGACTATGACTAATCTAGACACTGAACCATTGGTAGTTTGTTTCATATTCTGTTTTGCTGGCTGTGTTGTTAAATTTTGCTTTTCTGGCCCATACCTTCCTGTAAGCAAGAGCCCTAGCAGCTGTTGACAGAAGCTTTTTTCAGTCCCCTTTTATAGCAGTGGTTGCTACCATAGGCCCTGTATTTCCATCATGGAGTTTGTCTTACGTAGAGGACATCTATTGTATGCTACCCTTTAAGGCTTAAGATCTGCCCAATGCGGCCGGGCGCGGTGGCTCAAGCCTGTAATCCCAGCACTTTGGGAGGCCGAGACGGGCGGATCACAAGGTCAGGAGATCGAGACCATCCTGGCTAACACGGTAAAACCCTGTCTCTACTAAAAAATACAAAAAAAAGCCGAGGCGGGCTGTATCAACTGAGGCAGGAGATGGCGTAACGGAGCGAGCTCAGTGCTGATCGCCTGACTCAGCGGGCAGAGAACCCGTCTCAAAAAAAAAAATACAAAAAACTAGCTGGGCGAGGTGGCAGGCGCCTGTAGTCCCAGCTACTCGGGAGGCTGAGGCAGGAGAACGGCGTAAACCCAGGAGGCGGAGCTTGCAGGGAGCTGAGATGCGGCCACTGCACTCCAGCCTGGGCGACAGAGCAAGACTCCGTCTCAAAAAAAAAAAAAAAAAAAAAAGATCTGCCCAATGCTGTCTATTTTTGGATGGG